CCGATGCCGCTTCTCTCGTGAAAACTAGCGACGAATTGCAGGCGCAACCGCAGAAAATGGAAATATCTCACCGGCCATTGCCAGCAACGTGAACGCTCCTCCTCCGTCCTGTCCAACGTCCAAACGATCGCCGCCACCACCGCTGCCGGCCGTCAAGGACAACCGCCGGTCCATCCACGCCACCGCGCGCGTTCGGGTGGCCCTCGCTACCGCCCACAGCCCCTTAAGGGCGAAGCCGCCATCACCACCGCCGCCGCCGCCGCCGTCATCATTGTGGTCGAGGCTAAGCGACTCCCTGTACGTTGCTGCGCCGTCGCTGCCGGGTGTGTTGAATAAACACGCACGAAAAGGAAACCATTGTGGGGGGGGGGGGCCGCAATGTCGACATCCGGTGTTGGGGGGGGGGGGGGGGNGGGGGGTACGGCAATCGACAGGCGATTGTCTGTGAGTTGTTTGTCGCCTGTCCATTGACCAATCATCGCTTTGAGGGTGCCGAGGAGCGGCACAATCCCTGCATACATGCTTAAGGCAACCTTCCACAACGGAGGTTTCGTCCGTTTCCGACGAGGACGCCACGGACGGCAGTCATCATGCAGGGGTTGGCAGTAGTCCGACCGCACCATGCAGGAACTCGGTACTTGAGCCACAACATGTTTCATGCCAACGGGCCTCTCGGGAAGCTCAAGACCGAACGAGCGACAGCAACGAGGCTATCAAGGACAGGTCGTGGTGAAAAAAGGAAGAGGACACGACGATGCGCTAGAAACGGCGCACTGCGTTATACGCACGGCAACAACAAAAATATATCGTTGACAACAACAACTTCTACAACAACAACGAGAGCGCTCGGGGTGCAAAAATGGGAAAATATGCAAACAAGTCACCACCACCACCGGCAACGCCAGCAGTCAGATTGCGAGAAATGGGACAGCCTGCAATCATACCAACTGCAGCCAACAACAACAACGGCAACAACAACAACAACACCAACAGCACCAACACCAATCGACAAATCACAACCACCACCAGCAACGCCAGCAGTCACATTGCGAGAAGTTGGGCAGCCTGCAATCATACCAACCGCAGCCAACAACAACAACAGACCTCTTTCATTCTACTCACGTGGGGCATACTCGTAGCCCCCAGTGGAGCAGGGCTGACGACACCGTCGCCAGGGGCTCCCACTCCATGCCATCGGGCGAGTCTTTCGGCGGCTGAAAGACCGTCACGGCATGCAGGCAAGACACCACACATAGAAGGCACCCGCCATCCCACGCGCAGCCTGTACGTAACATCATCAAACAGCAAACAGCAAACAGCAACAACGGGTACGAAAGGTGGTAATGTCGGATTAGGCAAAGGCGTTATCAAGCGGTGCGGGCATCCGCGAAAATTCAGGGGGAGGGGGGCCGGCATCCAACACGCCGGATCACGAGATATCGATGACGACGATGGCAGTCAACCGGTCCAGAGTGCGGGGTATTCGTACTCCATATGGGGGGACGTTGGGTTTGTCGACCCCGTAAGAAAGGCGAGGGAGGGATATTCTACTTCATTCCTGAGGCAGGGAGTGGGCGAGGGGTGGTTTTCGCACCACATGTCACTATTTTCTGGATGCAGATGATCAACCGGGACACGGGCAACGGATGGCCAACGTACCCACACCATTAACAACTTCAACACCATCAACAACAACATCAACATCAACACCGCCATCCTCACTACCCTCACCACCCTCATCATCACCAACACTAACTACCCCCATTATCAGCACCAGCACCAACCAACACCAACGCCGAGACCGAGAGGCAACACCAGACCCACCCCTGGGGGACCAGGCCATGCCGGAGATGGTGTTCGAGTCCCCTCCGACGCTGCACTTCTCCAGGTGGTCCGGGTCGTCCGCGGCAAGGTACTTGAGGCCCTTTCTCGCGAATTCCACAGCGTCGCCGACCTGCCACAGCCGAACCGCCACCGCCACAAGTTACACACGCATACATGGTTCGTTCGTCTACCGACTACCGCGGTCGACGGAAACAATGAACTCAAACAAACAAACCTTTCATGCGCGCGCACACGCTAAGACGCACGCATACGAAGGCGAGATGAGGGCTGCAAGTTCGCGGGAATTTCGGGAAAGTACATTGGCGGCCATGGTGGCCGCCCTGCAAGCGTAATGGTGCTGCCGGTGGTTGCGCCCGGCGTTTACGCAGGACTCGCAGACGTGGCCGTGAGGGTCGGAGACGATGGCATCTTGGGCCGCCCGGATCATCTTGGTATAGTCCTCGCGTGCTTGGATGGCCTGGGCGGACGGTTCCCTCCGACCCTCCGCCCAGGCCATCCAAGCACGCGACGACAATAACACGATGATCCGGGTCGCTCAGGAAGCCGTCGTCTCCGACCCTCACAGCCACGTCTACGAGTCCTGCAAAAACGCGGGGCGCAACTAGCAGCACCATCACTCCGATTGCTTATAGCGAGTGCTTCGAGCGCAAGCGGGGCGGCCACCGCGGCCGCAAGTGTGCTTTGCCGAAGTTTCCGTGAACTGTTGTTCGTCCGTCTCCCGAATAGCGCGGTCGATGGAAACAATTAACACACAAAAAAAAAAAAAACATGAACGCGCACACGCTTCACACGCACGTGTACGAAGTCAAGATGACAGAAAGTTCAAGGAAACTTCGGGAAGGTACACTCGCGGCCGCGGTGGCCGCCCCGCTTGCGCTCGAAGCACTCGGTATGAGCGCAAAGCCGATGGTGGTGGTGGCTGCACCCGACGTTGTTGCTGGACTCGCAGACGTGGCCATGAGGGTCGGAGACGATGGCATCTTGGGCGGCCCGCATCATCTCCACGGCATGGCGCCCCCGCCCTTGAGCTTCGCGCCATTTATGAACTTGGCCACGTCACTGAGCTCCTCAATGAGCTGAGCCCGATCAACTTGTTGGCCCTCCTCCGAGGAACTCATGAGTTTCTGTGGAGTCACATACCAGCAACGTCATACTGAAACTGCTTGCCCTGCGAGGCGTGCTTAACTGCTGTCTTGGTTAAACATGCCTTGCAGGGCAAGCAGTTCGATGCTGCTGGTGGCTACACGGCAAACTCATGAGTTCCTCAGAGGAGTGCCAAAGGTAGATCCGGCACTGCTCATCAAGGAGCTCAGTGGCGTAGCTAAGTTCAAAAATGGGGCTAAGGGTAAGGGCGGGGGCGCCATGCCGTGGGGTGGGCCCCCTATGCAGACGCTCGCTTTTGCCCCGCACTTTGGCGGCGGCCACGGCGGTCCGCCGTAGCCGATGTGGCCCGCAGAACCGGGGAAGCCACCCGGGTTCCCTCCGCCCAGGCTATCCAAGCACGTGATTACATCAAGATGATCCGGGTCGCCCAAGATGCCATTGTCTCCGACCCTCACGGCCACGTCTGTGAGTCCGGCAAAAACGCCGGGCGCAACCACCGGCACCATCACTCCGCTTGCTTATAGCGAGTGCTTCGAGTGCACGCGGGGCGGCCACGGCGGCCGCAAGTGTACTTTGCCGAAGTTTGCGTGAACTGTTTTCGTTCGTCTCCCGTTTAGCAAGGTCGATGTAACAACCAACACACAATATTTTCATTGGATCGCGAGGTCGATGCAAAAACACACACTTGAGATAGCATCCCATCCATGTACCCTGCTTCATTTAACTCCTTTCATACCCACCTACCCCGCAATCGCCTCGAGTCTTGAGTGACATTCACACCACATTTTTTTCTGTAGTTTTTTTTCGATGCCTCCCGGTGGAGTGGGTATTGGTCATCACGAAAGAGAAGAAATTGACAGTCGCTCTCACGCCTTCGCCAATCGAAACTACTTGCTCTGCGGATGCTGCATCGATTTGGGCGTTGGTAGGCATGCATAGGTGTATCGTCTCGCTTCTCGCGTCTTGCCGCGAGTCCACCACCTCTGCGGTTCCCGGGAATATAACCACGCGCTCTGACGCTCACGACTACTGTTCAACGCGACCCCTTTGATGCCACGCAAAACCGTACCCAACTTCCTCTCGTGCTACCCACAACGTGCAGTGTTGTAAACGGAAACATCGAATCGCTCCTATCACACCATGTTGTACAGCCATGCAACCTTTCCGGGAAACCGCTGCAGGTCCAGGATGGTGCGGTCCACGTCCGGGCACGCGACGGAGAACGCGGTGAAGTCGTAGCGGTCCCTGCCCTCGAAGCGCGGCTGGTAGAGCAGCACCATCAAGCCCACGTTCACCGCGATGTGGCCGTCTGCGGCAGGCAGAACCGATGGGGTTAGGTGAGAGTTACGTCGTGGGACCAGACGCTTCGATTAGGTCCCCGGAGATTGAAGGGGTGACGATTCGGAACCGACGAGGGGCGGCGGAGGAGACGTACGAGAGCAGGGACATTTTGATGGTATGACAACGAAAGCAAGTACATTTCAATGTTTGACAGAAAGCGTCTGCGGAGTCGAATGCTTTCATTTCGTCGGGGAGACGGCTTCCTCTCTCTCTACCGCTTTCCGCTGGCATCCTACATTAGTTCATGTAGTAAACCATAAATTGGTGCGGACTTTTGTCACCGGCGGTGCACCTCACACAGACCGCGGCTTGACACTAGTAGATACCCAAGTGGCAGTCTATTGTGTTTATGGTGGTAGTGTTGAACTTTCTGGGGATTACGTGACATGGTGCTGATGGTCGAGTGGTTGAACCTCGCAAACCTACAACTACCAGGAGGTTGGAGCTCGATTCTCGCACTGAACTGGAACAAAAAAAGCGGTGGGAATTAGTTTACACGGTACAACTCAAAGTGATTCGTGAGAACATTCAACATCGCGATCGACCAGGGGAAACGGACGGTTGAACCATTCTCGAGGGAAAGGCAGGCACCACAGGAGGCAAGGCAAGGCATTCAACAAATAAGCTTAGACATGTTTGTACTTGCCCCGCATGGTGGAGACTGGCGCCAGACGGGAAGAAAGCACACATGCAGTAGTGGTGCATGGGCAAAAGCTTCATGTATAAACCTTCCATGACAACTACCAGAGCGCTTACAGTAGTCAGTGGATCGAGTCGCATCTACCGTTCTACCTGCTGCCCATTTGACGCAATCCGCGGTTGTAGGGAGGTATCCCGGACGATCCAGCTCTGTCTCCGCTCTGCCGACAAACGTTCACAGAAAAACAGCACAGATGCTTGAGCGATGTACCGCAACACACACACCTCGACTGCTTGCATGGCGCGATCGAAAGAGTGAGACTTGCTGGTGCTGGTCTGCAATACGTGTGTTGCCTACAGGGAAAGCTGCCGTAGATAGACGACATGTTTATCTCTAGACTACAGGAAAGGTGCGATTGTGTTGTCAGCATAGAGCCGCGGGGTAGTTAGGCTGTTTTTTCTGGCTCTTGCGTGGTACACCGCTGTCGAAACGTAACTTACACTCCCATACCCTCCAAGACGCGCCCCATCTCGTGCCCAATACCACGAGACAGGACTGCACACAGGTCTCCAGCCTACAACGTGGCTGCGGATCTATGTACGCTTACAACGATCGCTCATTGCACCAAGGGTGGTCAAGAGCGCCAGATATTTCAAAAACCGCGGTCCCAGAAGCAGACTGCCTGCAACAGTAGGAGAACGAAGGAGACAGGCTTGACGCCAGCGTAGCCGCAACGATCGAACCAACTCCCGGAAAAATCGCGCCGGAACTGCGATGTGCACACACACGCAGCTGCTGGAGGGATTGGTCGAGAGTGGGAGAGCGCTACACTGCCCTTGCTCTACCGGATGGTGAAAAACGTGTCTGGTGTTTTGAATCCCGATACACGCACACATGAGACTGCCCGCTGTGCGTGGTACCAACAAATATCGATCAGTCGCAAGGGCATGGCAACGGACAGAAGCTTACATGTTGGAGGTTAGGTCCTCCGTCTCGTCCGCAGCAGTCTCCATCGCATGTCCTTGGTGCGTCAATCGTGCGGTGAGCGGTGTACGCAGGCGTGGGTAGCACTGGAGCGCAAACCTCCTCTGCTCGGTGTTCACGAAGACAGAGGCCGACAATATGCGGCACAATTTACACCCTAATTCCTCCGCGCCCTGCGCTCTGGCCTCTGTCTATTTATAGCTCTCGTCTCCACGCTACGCCTTGCCCGTCGCTCGTCTACTCTACTACGAATTTCGGTGAGACCAGCCGTAGGTCTCGTGGTTTGTTTTTGCTGGTGTCCACTGCTCGCATCGCATATTGCTCTTCCCCCTCCTCAAATCGATTGGCAGCAACAACACAGCACCGATCCAGGAAGCACCTGCTGTCGCCGGACCGCGTGCTTCGCCGTTGCCCACAGATAGCTGCTGCACTGGAACACACTCATGGTTTCTATATCTGACACCGAGTCTGCCGAGGCTGCTGCCTCGTCGGCGCTGGAAAGAGAGATCGACAAGGTGGTGAAGGCTGGTAAGGGATGGAAGGAGGGTGAGCGCGAGGCTTACCTCAAGAGGGTCAGGGAGGAGGACCACCCCATGTTCGCCGAGAGCATCGACGTGAGTTGTACATAAGGGGACGATCCCCCTGGTGTCCGTGTTGCCTTGCTCTTGCCCGTGTTGGATGAGAGCGTAGGCGTGAGTTGTATGGGGACGGCCCTCTCATTGCCCGCGTTCTCTTGCCTGTGTTCGTCAATAACACAAGATGGGTTGTGCGGGCCATCCCCCTCCCGGGCCCGCGTTGCTTGCTCTTGCCCATTTTCGGCAGCATCGACGTGAGTTTTATGGGGGCGACCCGGTTGCTCTTGACCGTGTCCGCCGAGAGCATCGAAGTGAGTTGTATGAGGACGATCCCCATCTTGCCCATGTTGCCTTGCTCTGGGGTGGGCTGTACGCCGTAGGCTGCACGGGTGAAGACACCGGGGGGGAAACATGATGGCCCCAAAATAGACCTCGGCGTTCAATCAGTCCACCCTTGCACAACGCGAAATGGGGTCAGGGCAGCTGCACCCAGCCGGATCAATGCCACATACTGAACGTCAAGGTGCAATACGGGAGCGCAGTCCTCACTGGTGCGGCCCATCGTACTGCTTGGTTCAAGGGGCTCGCGAGGAGGAAGAGGCTTCTCAGAGGGTCGCGGAAAACCGTGGCGGGACTCGTCACGCCTCGGTTGCACACAGCGATGAGACGCACTCGTTCTCCAGCTTCCCTTCTCATGCAGCAGCCTAGTAGCCGGTCATCTTTTGCTGCCTGCTGCCATTGCCCAAGTAGGCTCTCCGCCATCATGCCGAAAGCCCGCGTACAGCGGGTCTATCCCTCCTGAACAAGGAGTTACACACACACGCCCCTCTCACATCTCTGTTGCACTTTGTGAATCAAAACCCCGAAACAATAATGCCGGCTAACAGGAGATGGACCCTGGCGTGGTAAAAGCCTTCCAGGACCTGACGTACGAAGACGAGACGCCGCTGTCTCTGGGAGAACACTTCAAGCAGCTGGGCAACGACCGCTTCAAGAGGGGCAAGAAGAACGCCATGTATTTCCGGCACGCACAGCAGGTCGGATTGCGGTTCATGGGTCTGTACATACGTGAACTGTGTTCGGGTGGTAGACTTGTCGGCTGCTGCCTTCCTCGCTGTTGTGTTGTATGGCTGGACGACCAGGGTTCTCCACGACCCCCTCTTGACACAAGCCGTTCACTGTAGAGTACGCTCCCATGACCCCTGAGTACACAGAAACCTAGGAAAATGGCAGTACCTTGAGAAGCACAGGAATATCAACCCAACTCGTCTCGAATGATGCAGGGACTAAGGCAAGCAATATCACGAAAAACCTCTCCCCCCCGCCCCCAATCACGAAAGGCGTACACGGAAGGCTTGCGAAATGTTCGCCTCGGCGAGGAGACGCCCGAGCTCACCGCCATGGCAGTGGCGCTCTTGTCCAACCGAGCGATGGCCAACCTCGCCCTCAAGAACTACGGCAGCTGCCGCAAGGACTGCGACGAAGCGCTGGCCTTGTCCCCGGGGCACTTGAAGTGCCTCTACCGCAAGGCCAAGGCGGAGCTGATGCTGAGAAGACACGGGTGCGTCGAGTGTTGCTGATGTATGTATTTTTCCCGCCTCGCCGAATGCATAGCCCTGTTGGTACACATGTTGTCCCTTGTCTACTAGGCAATGCCTGCGCGTAGTAGCGCAGTCGTAATTTGTGTCATGGATACAGCCGCCATCTCCACGTTCGGCCTGAACCCGCGTTGAGCTTCGTTTGATGAGCCCCCTTCCAGCGAGACATGGCACGAGGTTATAATGAAACGATGGTCTCGAATGAAGCTCGAGGTCCACCCAAAACCAATCTGTATGCATGGGGTGTCCAATATCTTGCAATGATCCGTCTCCCGGGGCATCGAGATCCAACCGAAGAAATGAGTTGCTCTGCTTCTCTCAGCACAGCACATGGAAGTATCAGCACGTGCCGGCAACACTACCGCCGCCGTTCTGACCGCGTGGTGTTGGTTACTCCTGTTGCCGTGTGAAAAATTAAATGTCAGGGAAGCTCTGGCTGTCTGCGAGGAGGGACTGAAGATTGACTCGTCCAACACGGAGCTGCTCAAGATAAAAAAGGAGGTAGGAATGAAAATGCATGTGTTGGGATGGCATAGACTACTGTAGTCGTGGGGAAGTACTCTCCTTGAAAGTCTAACCTGCCCAGCTTGGTTGTGGCCGGAAATGCTTTCTCTGTGGACGTGGGACTATTTCACCAAACGCAGATACCAACAACAGTGACTAAGAGGCGCACAATGCGCTTGGTTCATCATGACAACCGAGATGTCCTTCATGAAGAAATCATTGTTCCCTCGCCCGGCGACATTTCTTGCCGTCCCACGGACAGTGCGGAAGGGCTTTGAAAGCGGCGGAAGACGCTACCGCCGCGCTGAATAGGGAGAAGGAGGAGCGGCTGGAGAGGCTGGCGGCGGTGTGGGACGAGTGCGAGGCCGCCGGGGTCAAGCTGGGGCCTAGCGGGTTCGACGAGTCCAACCACGAGCAGCGAAACGCCTTTCTGCCCATGGCGGACGACGAGGTCCGTAGTGCATTGCGACGTGGGATCTTGTAGGTTTCGACTGAGGGGGGGCGAGCGGGGGGTACTCGTGGCCGTGCAAGCGGTTGTTTCACGGGGGGAGGTAGTCACGTTCGTGCAGGCACAGGGACAAGGTGAATGAAGGACATTAGGGAATGTGTGAATATACAGGCGGGGGGTTCTTTGTGGAGGGACAGCAGCATGGGGAAGGAGACAGTGTCCATGGAGGAATCTACCGTGATTTTCCATGAGCCTTTGCCCCGCCATGGAGCCGGCATGGCCTACAACTTTCAGCCGTCGACGTGCCAACAACAGCCTGCTGAGGAGACGTTTTTTTGCCCGGAGGAGAAGAGATGGTTTGGTGTTGGAGCCCTGATGCGCATTGGAATATCGGGAAAATTTTGCACGGCCTTGTACCGCGATTTGCATAGGGTGTTAAGAGACTACCAGCCCGGCCCGCAGGACCCTGGCTCGGCTAGTGGTTCGGCCAATCGTGGGTGTTTTAGTGTGCGTGTCGTGTTTGTTGTTTCTTTTCGTGAACAAGGCGCACCCCGAGCGTTTGTGTAGGTTTTGCTCCACTGCACTACCCGCGAACAAGTGATCGGTGCTGCTGCACCGTGTGTCTGCGACAGGGTGGCGTTATCTGGCCAGTGCTGCTGCTGTACCCCCAGTACGGCCAGTCTGACCTCATCCAGGCCTTCCGGGACGCGGACATGCTGGCGGAGCACCTCGCCGCGGCATTCCCAGAAGAGGGTCCCCCCGCGCCGTGGGACACTTCTTTCGAGTACAGGTGATAATCGGGGATGACAAGCCAAGCTTTCGCCATCCGGCTTCGGTGTGTGTTGGTTGAGCAGTTGTTTGGGTGACGTTTGAATGGTCGTTTGCTGGTGCCCGCGGTGAGTCGGTGAAATTGAAGCTACTCGTGGTTGTGCGGAGTCTGGAACCGCAGACATATCTGTTGTGCGGAGGTTTTGGGGGCCTCTCGACCATATACTGTTGCTCTCAGCAGTACCGCCGCTTTGGATTGACGGTGACGCCACGGGGTTCGTCTTTCACTGGTTTTGGCAAATAGGTTGCACCGGTGTGGGGCATGTGTGAGGCCACATGATAGCTGGTACATATAGGTTGGAACACTTTGAGCACGTCAACAACATCAGCATCGCCACCAACACCAAGAGCCACAATGACCAGTGAAATCGCCGATAAGGAGAACAACAAGTGGAAGGACGGCGATGACAATGACAACGTCAGCGATAGACTTGCCGGCAACACCCCAAGTCGCGGAAGCAACCAACCACCAAACATCACACAACACAACCACACCTGCGGCGATGATGTCATTACCGGGGACGCGATCATGCCGCCCGACCCCAACCCCGAAAATGCGCGCCCCCGATCATAACATCGCCATATCAGGTGCAGCGAGCTGGTCATCTACCTCCCCCTCCGACCGGTGGAACCGTCGCCGTCGGTGTTCGACTGGGTGGCGGAGTTCGAGAAGATGGAGGCCGCCAAGGTGTCGGGGGAGGAAGAAATGAACCGAAGGTGAGAGTGGCGAAATGCGGGCACAAGTCTCGCTTGGGCGAGAGTCCGCTGGGGTGCTTGTGGTCGGTAGATCGTGCTGTCGCGAAGAATGAGTTTGTCTGCTTTGTGTCGCAACCCCCCCCCCCCCCCCCCCCCCCCCCCCCCCCCCCCCCCCCCCCCCCCCCCCCCCCC